TTTCCCGTAGGGCGTTTCAACACCCATTAAATTCTGTTTGTATTCTCGTTGTCTTTGAGATATTTGTTTTCTTCTTTTTCATACAAAAATCCATTTCTCAGCACGAAAGTGATTTTAGCCATTACCGAACTGGAGATCTCTAACACTAACGGCAACAAAAGCAAAACAAAACAACATGATCTTGTTAAAAATAAGTCATGAAAGATAGATTAAGTTTGTCTAATATATATACGTTTTCCACCAAGAGAGAATGAGCTCATGCATTCTCCCTTCTTTTCACTAAATGTTTTCCAGACGAAAAAATATCTGTCATTATTTTTTGTCTACTATGTCAATGTTTTAAGTGTTTTATTGCCTGGTGAACGGCAATACTCAAGATTTATTTACTTGCCACACAATTATGCACACTGTTAACGAAAGAGTTAAATTTCAATGGGAGAATGCCTCAGTGAATTTAAAATACGAGTCATTTTGAAACTGACTTTAACAGAATCACCTCAACACCTCCAATTCTTGCACAGGTTTTTAAACCCTTTTAGCCCAAATATCCACAAAGAAATTTTTCCAGACTATCGATCTTCATAGCTTTCCTTAAACAATAAGTTGAGAGAATTTAATCAAAGATCAGATGCTTTTTCTCATTGGTGATCATTTTGTTAATTTTCACAGCCTTGGATCTTAATAATGTATGGAGATTGTTAGGAGAAAATTGATTTTGGTCATGGAAGGTTTTGGTGACTTTTTCCTCTTTATAGCATGCGTTTAATAAGAGTGAGCCTTGGTCCTTTAAAATGATACAGATTCGTGCTTGTGTTCTTTATTAAAGGGATAAAACTTACGGTTCCCACGTGATTATCAAGTCTTGCAGATTTGTCTTCAATTTCTGAACATCGGCAGGATTTCTTTCCCCAAACTCTACATTAGTCTAAATTCTCAAGCCCAAAAAACGCATCATTTTAGTATAGTAGAAAAAGAGTCTATGCATTTTAATTTCGGAACAATATGATTTAACGAAAAACTATACGTAAATCATGGTGTGTTTCGAATTGTTTCGAATTAATTCCCGGATTCCAAACGATTTTTAAGTATCCTTGACTACATACAAGCCCTGGTATAAACAGTGTTCAGACCAGGCTGCCTTTTCCAATTTAACAAATCTTGACCACCTAAAAACATCAGTATCAACAAAAATAGCTCCTGTTTGCCTTGATACGTTTTGAATTTCTTCGTTGGTTGTTCGAGGTAAAAGACACTGATTACGTCGATATTTTCAGAATAAATAAAGAGATGGATAACTAAACAGCTATCCTTTCTTTTCCCTGTAAATTGGCGATCATGGGTGCAAACATAAAAGCAAAAATGAATGGAGGTCGAGCCGCTCCAACAGGGCTATACATAAACATGCAGATTAAATATTGGGTTATAAATCAGCTCCACTAAAAATTTAATCAATTTATTCATCTGGAAATGCGCAAGCCAGGAGCAAAAAGCCCAAACTCGGAACGTATCCAACTAGTCTAAATGGAAGTCTGAAAAAATAAATTAAAGGAAAATTTAACACGTGAAATTGCCAAAGAAGTATAAGATACTGCCGGTGTTATGTAGTTACTCAGTCATCAGCACATGACTGATGATCATGAAGATTTCCCGCCAATTAATGATGCGCCACAAGACGCCGGTCATTATTTCCCGCCATTTTAGCAGGAAGCCGCCAGCCGCGGCTAAATTAGACGAGGAAGTTACAGTAACAGTTTATATATTTTCTAATTGCACACACAAATTATATAGGACACAGTCGAAATCACCTAAGGAGATCGCCAATTTAGGCACAAATTAATAGATATTTTTATTACTCCTTTAATGACAAAATCACAGACGCACATAACAATTTTGCAATACCTTCAGAACCGTTTGGAAAAGAAACAGTCAGACTCAATAATTGATTTTGATGTGCGTGTTTGACCACGATGTTACTGTTTTTAACAAACATTAGTATCATAGTTGTCAAATTTTTCAATAAAATTCCAATCTATAGATAGCTTCTAGAACTAAAAAAAGCTTAGTAATATAAACAGTTTCCGTCAGCTCCACGTGCATCCTCAGCGAATTGATTCATCAAGACATATTTTGCCACTAGTAACTGCAGGTTGAAATTTTGCATTTATCTCTAAAAATTCTTTTAACCCTAGGGCTTCTGAAGTGGCAAATTAAAATTGTGATGAATATTTGTGGTTTAGAATTGGGGTGCTAACAGAGCTTTTCTGGTCAATTTGGCTTTGCGCTTACGAGTTTCAATGCTGTCTCAGTAATTACATCCATTACCTCTCATTCACTGCAGGGCTCATATAAATTAAACCCTGTTTTTTTGTTCCGCCAAGTAAACTAACACAACTGAGAGTCTACTGAAGTAATCCTTTCCAGTACATCTGCAAGTACCTCTTTTACAGAATTATAGAGAATTACCACTCCAAGGAGTAATCAGCAACCAACCATTAAATATTAACTATGATGTTTCATTTTTGCATTGAATACAGACCTTGAAAATGGCCATGGAGGTGTCGAAAAATGCCGTGTTTGTAGCGTGGAGGCTTATCAATTGCGACCGAAATACATAAAGAAGATTAACATCAAGTGAACGATGCTCCGACGCTGATGCAACATATGGGTTGACATAAACTAAGTTTACGACACGTTCGATCTCACGGACAACACGTCTTGGAGGAGATGGTCACCGCAAAGGTTCTGCCAAAGGTTGCAATCCTTGCGTTTTTCTACTTTTATAAGGTACAGTTACCTTCTTATCAAAAGTCAGTTATACAAAGACGCATTTTGGTTGTTTCTTTTTCTTGTATAACGCTCTTTTTTGTTTTCATGTTTCTGTCCAGTGTGTTCAGATTGCAAAAGGAATTACAATTGTAGGTAAGGATACTCTCGTTAAACATGAGTTCAGCAAGATAACCCAGTGTAATTAGACTTAATTTGTATCCTTTACAAGAACCGTGGATACTTTTTCGCAACCAAACTTTTCAGTACATCTATTATTTTCTTGTTATTTAATATACCGATGACGCATTTCCTTTCTTAGTATAGTGATAACACGAATGACAGTTACTTTATTAGTGATGTTTCGGACCCTGGAGCCCGCTGATAAAGAATGTTTATTGCTTCAACACCCGGTCACAAAGTTTGCATTTACCGCACTAGGAAAAAGTCCTTTAAAAGATAGTTCACGCTTCGTGCATATTTGTTAATTTGACCGATCGATTATTTTCTGTCAAAGTGTATGACGCAAATACTGATGCATGGGCTCTCGTTTTACCCTTTGAAGGCTGTTCGACTGCTTCTCGCGAATAGCACTTAACTGGCACAAAACTCGTTTGTAATACTATTCGCATAATTCAAGGCGACAGTGGTTAATGTGAGATAACTAAAAGCAACCCCGCGAAGAGTTACATAAGAGTTTATATGTTCGACACTTTCAACATTTTAATTTTCGCTCGCAAATCACAAGTGAAATCTGATTCCAAGATTACAGGAAAGATAATTCTCCGTATCACTCCTGTACGATAGGTAATTATAAGCAACCATTCAATAGGCACTCTCTAATCTGTTTTAAAACTATAAGATTTACTTATATATATATTTTTTTATATTTTAATGAGGCATAACTATCACTTGCAATATCTTATTCATTCAACGATAAAACGGTAAAATCCGTTTCGAAGCATTGCTCGCGGCAGGTGGAAGGTATTTCCACCAAACAACAACAGGGGTCGCTCACACGATTAACATGTTTACCTTTCTCTTACAACAAACCATATGATAGCAATACGAAAAAAAGCGTATCTCTGTATAGCGTTTCTAAAGTGTCCTTATTTAAGCAAAATGAACTGAATAACTGATCGAATTGGGGCGTAGAGTTGTCAGAACGTAACTTTATCTCAACTCTAGAGATTTCGTTGCCCTATGTACCACCTGTCGATTCAAAAACCGCTACAAAATGAAAACAAACCCAGACCTGTCCATATATCTCCTCACAGAATACATCTTCAGTCTCAGTAAATAACAGTAAAACATGCCCTTATAAGCTCATACCATACTTTATTGATTTCCAAAAACATTAAGCTCTATTTAAGTTCTACTTGCCAATTTGTCGAAATCTGTGAGGTTGTCCTTCCTTTGTGCCCAAGGAAAGATAAGTCTATTACACTGTAAATAAGGTTATTTTTGTTGACTGTATTTAATTAAGAGGTTCCCAGCTAAGGAAAGTGCAGACTCTGAAAAAAACCTCGTTAATGAGCCAGTTTATTTCTTTTCTTTTCTTTAATTCGGGTAATCAGCCAGGGAAGGGCTTAGTTTGCTTTATTTCAAAGTATGTCTTATATTAACGAGGGTTTAACTGGCTTAACAGATATCCATTTAGTCGCGTTTTTAATTGGGAAAAATTCTAAACGACTAGGGCAACACTTACTTATGGCGTATTATTATAAAATTAATGATAACTATTTGTGCCGAAAAAATTTCGAGAGTGTAGTCTGGTTGTTTTGAATCCTAAGAAAATAAAATCGCTTCACGTCCCTTAAAACCACAAGAATGTCGCATACACCTGGATAATCATACAGATTTGTAGACCTATCTGTATGCTTCGTTGTATTAAAAACCGCGAGACGATTTCAAGAACTTAATATTCCATCAAAGGATTTCTTATTATGACTTATCATTACTTTCTTCTTTAAGTTTTTTGGTTTTTAACGAAGAAAGGACTTTTGCTGGATTACTTCATGATTAAAGTATAAATCCTTATTCCTAACTGAATATTTTTGAAACCCTGCTTTTAGTGAAGATACACATCTTTTAGTCCAAAAACAGTGGCCAGTTTTGATGTTAATTAATCGATGCCATGTGTTGAGGTCACAAAGAACTGCGTAACTTAGCCTTATGGCCTCCCAGCACTGTGTAACCCCGCCTTATGGCCATTCCATGAATCTGACACTGGTCATCTCTCTTTTGTAGGAGACGAACCATGGTATACGAAGGCCAGCTACTATTGGTCATTCAACTCCAAGCAGGAATGGGGTGTTGTAGACCAGCGACGCACCTCCAGCGTACCTGCCTACAGTAACAACGGTCTTCAATTGAACCATGATTTTGGAAGCTGGGCGGACCTGGGCAGCTGTTCGAATCATTGTATCAAAGACCCGGATGCCTGTGACACTGGCTTCACAGTGTCGTTCTGGTTAAGGGTGAATGACTATCAAAGAAACAAAGTGATTATGCAAATAGCTTCGGCCACCAAGGCAGTTGGAACGAAGGTTGAACTTAATGGTGATTTCCTCGGCGTGCATGTAAATAGTCGCACCATTCAACGACACCTGCAAGTAAAATGGCCTTATTCTAGCTGGAATTTTGTGGCTTTTACGTGGAACAAGACAAAAAATGAGATCAATGTTTTGCTGAACAGCACTCCTGTTGCGTACGTCAAAAATGTTGTTGAGCAAAGTTATGACTTCGCGTCGGTTCTTCCATACCACACGCTTATTCTGGGGGTGAGCAACGCTCGGATTAGAAGTATAAGGATGATAATTGACGAGTTAGCACTTTGGAAAAGACCCTTGTCGATAGAAGAGCTCCGCTATGTTATGAAGTCCAAGGCAGGTAAGTAGAACTCCTAACATATCTTTCTGATTGTCGTAAAATCGTACTTTTCGGATCCGTTCAAACGACCCAACACCATCCAAAATTTTTGAATGAAACATAGCGATCTCGAATACAAACTCGTCCCCAGGGCGCTTCTCCCTAGCTTTGGACGTGGGGCGGAAAAAGGACCCTGGGGACAAGGTTGTCTCGAAGAGAGATTTCGAGTATTTGTAGGGTAAGCATAAAAAGGGGAAGGCGAGTAGGAGAAAAACGCAAAGGAAAAAGAGTGGGTACCCTTTCCTCTCGTCCCAAACACCGTCATGTTTCTCTTCTTCTCTCACCCCTTTCTACGCCTGTCCCACAAGCTACATGTTAAGCAGTGTTGCATACAGTCTAGGCTTCCTAAACGCCCGTTTTGCTAGGGTCATCTGTCAGGAGGTAATCTGTACTCGAACTATCGCTACCTCCTCGCTCAAAAACGTCGACTTAGGGTCAGGTCTAGGTACATTCGAACCTCTAGGGGGAGGGTGCAGGGGGGGCGTGACCTGGATCCGCCCCTGAACCCCCTCTACAAAGGTCACCATGGGGAAAGGGGTAAGTGGCAGCTGTAGACAGGTGACCGTTATATGTAAGGGAATTTCAAGTCCAAAAGAACCCTGGAATAATTTGTTATTTGCCTCAACTCTAAAGCGCACGTGCAGGGACATTGAGCCGCTGAAACAAAGGCGTTGCAACAACTGTCAATTGATAACATAAAAAAATCATTATCTGAAAATTGATTTATTTTTCTCTAGTTGACGGTGGCTACACAAACTGGTCAGAGTTCAGCTCGTGCACAGTCTCCTGCGGCCAAGGTACGAAAACGAGGACCCGAAACTGCACTAATCCTCTTCCACAACATGGCGGTAATTATTGTCAGGGTAGATCTACCCAGTCGGTACCATGCTTTGTTAGACATTGTCCTATTAACGGTAATTACACAGAATGGACGGAATTCACTTCTTGCTCGTTAACCTGCGGGGGAGGCAAACGAAATCGAAGTAGAACTTGTTTAAATCCTCGACCACAATATGGCGGTCTTAACTGCTCAAGCCTGGGTCCAGCTCAAGAGGCCGAAGATTGCAACACGCATGCGTGCCCTATAGACGGAGGCTACAGCGAATGGTCCACCTTTGGCGCATGTTCTGCTACATGCGGGAACGGTTTGAAGCGTCGCACTCGAATTTGTAATAGTCCACCTCCTCAATATGGCGGTATGGACTGTTCTATAATTGGCACTGCTCAAGAAACACGTGTCTGCTTTATTAAATTGTGCCCCGTTGACGGTAACTATAGTAACTGGAGCTCATTTGGATCTTGCAGCAAAAGTTGCGGCGTTGGAGAGAAGAGTAGAACTCGAAAGTGCGACAATCCCGTCCCAGTAGGGGAGGGTAGGAATTGTTCACATATAGGTCCGCCAATCGACATTCAACCTTGCAATACTCAACCATGCCCACGCAGCGGGGGGTACACCCCTTGGTCAGATTTTAGTCCCTGCACAGCCTCTTGCGGGGGTGGGACTCATTTCAGGAGGCGTAACTGCACGAACCCGCCACCGGCGGCTGGAGGCCGAGACTGCGTTCGTCTAGGACCCTCTGAGGAAACGAACTTGTGCAATACACATTCCTGCCCCGTGGATGGTGGGTACGGGGAGTGGTCACAGTTTAGTCAGTGTTCACGAACCTGTGGCGGCGGAGATAAGAAGAGATCGAGAAGCTGTAACAATCCAGCTCCAGAGCATGGCGGAAGGAACTGTTCCGGTCTAGGACCAGCCCAAGAGACTGAATCCTGTAGCAGCAACAAGTGTCCAGGTGAGCTTTTTGATGCAGTTTCCTCTTAGGGGCCGAGAGTGAAAGTGTAGAAAGGTGAGTGGTAAGGTAGGTAGCTAGGTGGGCAATTGGGTAGGTAGGTAAGTAGGTATGTAGGTAGGTTGGTGGGTGGCTAGATAGGTAGGCGGATAGAAAGGTAGGTTGGTAGGTAGGTAAGTAAGTAAGTAAGTAGATAGGTAGGTTGGTAGGTAGGTAGGTAGGTAGGTAGGTAGGTAAGTAGATAGATAGGTTGGTAGGTAGGTAGGTAGGTAGGTAGGTAGGTAGGTAGGTAGGTAGGTAGGTAGGTAGGTAGGTTGGTAGGTAGGTTGGTAGGTAGGTAGGTAGGTTGGTAGGTGAGTAGGTAGGTAGATAGGTAGGTGGGTAGGTATGTAGGGTGTAGGTAGGTAGGTAGGTAAGTAGGTAGGTTGGTAGGTAGGAGGTAGGTTGGTAGGTAAGTAGGTAGGTAGGGAGCTTGGTAGGTAGGTAGGTTGGTAGGTAGGTTTGTAGGTGGGTAAGTAGGTAGGTTTGTAGGTAGGTATGTATTTAGGTAGGTGGGTAGTTAGGTTAGCTAGGTAGCTAGGAATCTAACTTGGTGGTTGTAGAGTACGTATTCAGATGCTATATTGTTATACACCTTAAACAATAATCAAATGAGTGATGGATGAAAGAGTTGTACATTGTTCGGAGATATGATAAAGGGGGGGGGGGGACAAAGTGCATTGCACGTTTAACTGCTCCAATTGCGCTGGTTAATTTCTTTGTGGTCATCTCTAAATGTGTTGCCCATGTTAGCGACACGTCGATTTGCACGCCTTAAGATTTGGATATTAGTTTAGGTACATTAGCACTTTCTGTAAGAAATAATATGGTTTAAGGTTAACAGTTTAATCTAATAGGTAAAAAACTCTATCTTTACAGGGATCACCTTTTTGGCGCCCGTGATATTTCCAGAGGAGACCTTTAACACAGACCTTTTGAATAAGGAAAGTCCTACGTTCAAATTACTGGCGGAAAGGATCAAGTACAACGTAAGCGACTTCTAATATTGTTCCTTAATTGATAGAATGGAGCCCATAAGATATGCCTTTTCCATCGCAATGGTGGAGGTAATTCATCTGTAACTACAGCCGTAAATTCGGGTAGAAGATCTCAGTCACACCTCAGAGAAACGGCTAGGCTACAACGTAGGGCAAAAACGCCTTTTCCCATCTTTTACCAGTGAAAGCTTAAGGGTTAAAGCCAAGTAGACTGCAAAACAGTCCGTATTTTTGCGTATTCAAGTACGCGCGAGCAGTCAAACAAAAGGTGTGGAACGAGGCTGAAAACAGAGAGCGAGACTGGAGAGAGACGCTAAAAAATACTCTCCCGCCTCACACGCCCGTAGGGCGTGTGAGGCTCGCGCGGTTCGCGCTTGTAAGACTCTTACGCCACGCGTTACCGATTTCTTTACTGACTTTGAGGAAAAAACCGACTGCTTTGCAGTCTAAAAGCCAAGAGATCATTCTCTCTCTTAATTAAAACCATTAACAGCAAAACGTGTTTTCATCAGAACTGCTATAGTTTGTGTTAACCACCTTTTTCTATTCCGGTTTATAAGTCCTCATCGGATATAAGCCCTTCCGTTTAAAAGCCCTCCTAAATTAAACCCCTTACTAACATGTGTAAGCCCGTGGCTTGTAAGCGGAAGTTTATGGTGTACGACATTTCTCTTTGTGATTCTGCTTGATACTTCAATGTTGAGTTAAAATCTAGAAAATATTTGGAAACTTTCGGAATATTGCCCAGACGTTTAAAAGGTTCTCGATCATTTCTTAAAATTTCATTAAACATCAACTTTGACAGTTCATGGAGGCAATCGTAGCAGCTAAAGTGAACTTGATCTTGCATAGGCCTGTTTCATCGCCTATTAATTACATGAGTGTTTCTCACTCTGATAGAATCATGAGTTAAACTACCCTAAACTGCGGCTTTTAAGCCCTGGACTTGGACACCTGACGGTAAGGAGTCTTAAGAGGGCTTTTTACAACCATTGGGGTTTAAAACCGGAGTAGAAAATGCGCTTTGAAACACGCTATGTACAAGTTAGAGGCGTGCTTATATCCAGTGGCCTTCAATAGTATGTATTTTTTTGTTTACAGATAGATAGGCCTGTAAATGGAGGGCCTATAAATGGCGCGGGGGTGGGGGGGGGGGGGGGGTTAAAAATAGTTTTACGTATTAAAACAGGGAAAGACGGTTTTAAAATAATTTTTAAAAGGGGGTTAGAAACGGAGCCAAACGTTTTTTTTTTATTTCTTCCCTTTTTTTCGTAAAATATCTATTTTTTTTCACTTTTTTAGGATTGTAGTAGTGTTAACTAACGCATGTGGAATAAAAAAGAGAGTAGAAAGATTATATAAGATACATGTTATTGTGTGTTGGATTGGGTTTTGTATTGTATGGGTTTTTTTGTTTTTTTTTTTTTTGGGGGGGGGGGGGGGGGGGGGGGGGGGGGGGGGGGGGGGGGGGGGGGGGGGGGGGGGGGGGGGGGGGGTTAAACATCAGTTTACAGTATCAAACACGAGAAGAACTGTTTCAAATAATATTCAAAAGTGGGTTGAAGAGACGAGCCATAGCTTTATTTTTAATCATTCCACTGCTTTCTGAAAAATCTCATTTTGTTTTCACTTTTTTATCAGGTGCATAAGATATATGACACAAATTCCGCCTTGGAATCAGTTAATGTTAACTGGTGTGGACCGACCGATAGTGGGTAGGAATAAAACTAACTTTACACAATATTTACCTACCAGGACGTGCTGGACGTGTGGAAGAACAACCTCGTTCCCAGGTTCTCTCTCTCTCTCTCTCTCTCGTTCCGTAGGGACTGGTGTGAGAGAACCCTGGGAAGGAGGTTGGTGGAAGAAAAGGGCATAAAATTGATAATAGTTTCATTAACTTAAAACCCCATTGGTTCAAAATCAAACGTTAGATTGTGGAAACTATGTTGAACAACGTAAGGAGGTAGGGTTTTATTTTAACATATTTTAGCTGAAATCTTTATATTCTTTGAAGGTCGGAACATTCTAGGCAACAAATTACAGCAACATGACGCGGCGACGAAATCGCTTTGTGAGTACTGTATATGAAAATATTTGGCTCCGCAACAGAATTTTGTACCCGCAACAAGTCGCGCAAACCAAATCAAATCAGACAGTCTGGTATTCAGGCCCTCTATAAAACGTGAAACTAGGAAGGTTCACGTCGTAGTCGTTCAACGACGGCAAGAAATGTACAAAAAAGCGTGATGCACGTGCAAAGTCGTTGTTTTGCTAATCTAAATCTATTGCGTTTTTTCCATTCTCGTTGCCGACGCCGTCTTTAGCTTAAGCTTCAATTATTGTGGCTCAGCAGGACGGCGTAACAATCATAGAAGCTCTGCCGAGAAAATACCCGCTCATAGTGTTTTAAGCCCTGACACTGAACTCCAACACCCACTGAATCACGCCATATGACGTGTCTCCCAGAGGGCAAAAGCCCAAGTGTCGCGTTGATGTCTCGCAAAGAAATAATGATGGTGGTAATGATGGTGGTAATGATGAAGGTGACGACGATGATGATGGTGATGATGATGATGATGATGATGATGATGATGATGATGATGTTGATGATGATGATGATGATGATGATGTTGATGATAATGATGTTGATGATGATGATGATGATGATGATGATGATGATGATGATGATGATGATGATGATGGTGGTGGTGGTGATGGTGGTGATGTTGTTGTTGATGATGATGATGATGACGACGCTGTTTTGTCGTTATTAATATATATTATTGTAGAACACTTACTTTAGTCCCTATGTCACATAGTGCTCCTGGTGTTCAGTGCGTACTTGGGTTTACTTTTACGGCTGATCATTACGCCGGAATCATCCGTTTACAAGACGCTCTGTTTAAGGAAAAACTACTTTACAGAATGCCTACCGAAGCTGAATATCTGACAACCAGTGATGGTAAGAGAAAATTCTTGCTCCTTTTTTGTGTGTTATGTCTAGCCTTATAGCCTTAGTTAAGACGTTATTTTTCGTATTCGATACTGGGAAGGATTTTCACTCGTGGATATACAATTTATAAAAATCCGGGAGTGAGAACCTGCATTTTTCCACGTTATCCTAAACTCTACATGTCAATAAATTGCAGTTGGAGTGATAAGGCACCTATGTCTCCAAAAAGGATCCTGAATGTTGACTTGTCTTGTTTACCCAAGCGTACAGAATTATTTTTTTTCTGCAGATTTTAGAAAATAAGAACCTGTTTCAAATTTCAGGCTAAACAGGTTCTTGTATAGAGTGTGCCTAACCGGCAAATTTCAGCCTGACAGGTTCTTAAAAACCAAGTTCTAACTCGTGGGTTTTTAGTGTAGCACGAGATAGATGAGATCACTATTGGGTTCTAAACATGAGAATTTTAGCTTAACCAGGTTTACAAACGGAGTTTGACGCTAATACTAACTCTGGTATTATTAAGTCCCCAGCGACGCACCAGAAAACGTGACAGCTCACAACACCAGCTCAAGAAGCATACAGGTCACGTGGTTAGAAGTCCGCCCAGATAGCGGTATCAAGGGTGGAGACATAGCAGGTTATCGCCTTAATATGTACACTATTGGCAAAAAAAGGACCTGGAGTCGAGTGATACCTGGAAAGAATAGAACACTTTTCGAATTAAGAGGCCTAAATGTTTACACTGAATACTGCGTGCGAGTGATGGCTTATAACAGGCGAGGTGATGGTCTCGCTTCTGATCCTGTGTGTGCGTACACAGACACAGACGGTAAGTCGAGTGGTGAGCTGGACAGATTTAAATTTCATGTAACCTTCAATAACAGTTATCTGATGGAGTATTGGAACTGATGCTAATTTTTATGTGAGTCCGAAAAATTCGTTTCTGTCCTTCATAGGAAACCCGGGGTAGTTACTATTTGCATGGGAAAACCGGATATTCCGGCTCGATAATCAAATGGTTCGCGTCATTCCGTTTGGGAAGGTTCAGAAAACATGGGCTGTGATTTGAGGCGATGTAAGTTTCTGTTCAGCTGATTTAGATATTCTTTGTATTGGGTCGGCCTTTCACCACCTCAGATTTTATAGTTTTATGTTAATGCACAAGATTTCTACCCGGGTGGCAGTGGCGAATGCAGACCTTCAGATAAGGGGGGAGGGGGGGGGTCATCCAACCCTGGGATAAGGGGGGGGAGGGGGCGCCCGTCTCCAAAAGATTTTTTTCGGCCCTATGGGCCTCAGTTTGGTCTAATAAATAAGGGGGGCCTCGGGCCCCCCGGTCCCCTTACCTGGATCCGCCACTTGGTGGTTTGGGTAAATAGTAAGCACCCCAGTATTTTTAAGTATCCATAATGCCTTGTCCCTCAGCCTCAATACTGCGCGCGGCCGATGCCTTTTGGGTCACGTGGCCGTTCGTCTCCGATACTTCACCGAAATGCATTGACCGAGAAGAACTGAGAGGGCGCCGTACAGGGACTAGGCAAATATCCATAAGTTTTAGTTTCTGAGAAACGGCCCACCTACCCCTCTCCTAACCCAGCATTTTGCCCTAAGTTAGAAGTAACTGTTAATATTAGCTCAGGGGAGGGGTCGGTGGACGATTCCCCAGAAACCTAAGTTGATCCGAAGCGAGATCAACAGAGAACATCATTAAAGCGACTTTGAGCAAAAAAGAGCTTGTTTATTGTTTTGTAATTAACTTATTGTCGCCACTTTGTATTAAGCGTTTCACTGGAGCCAATTTCTCTTTTTTAGTCCCAGACCGCGCGCCTTCGAATGTGTCTGCGCGAAACCTGAGCGCTACAGAACTCCTGGTTAAGTGGGAGCCACTCCCAAAAGAGTCTTACCACAGCGTTCTCCTTGCCTACCGTATTAATATTTCGACGAATAAGATCAACTTTACAAGAATCATCAACGTCCCACCCAACACAACAAATCATCGCATCACAGGACTTGACACCTACACACGTTATGTCGTCAGCGTAGCAGCAGTGAATGACGTTGGCCAAGGAGTTTACAGCGATGACATCATTGTTTGGACAGAGGAAGGCGGTAAGTTGATTTTTCTTATTTATCAAATTTGACCTTGCGTTGTGTTGGTCATTTGAGTTTTTTTATTTAATATTTTAAATTTTAAATGTCTTAGCGCTCTTGGTTGGTTATTTTTTCGTCCTAGCTACTTAAATTCCGTGGAGTAAATAAACAATAGGCTCCTTTTATTTCATCTCTAACACTGAATGCTTTAATTTTAATTTTCTAGTTCCCAGCCACGCTCCAAACATCAGTGAGATATTCTACACAAGTTCAACGAGTATCCGAGTGACCTGGGAACCACTGTCGCCACACTTTGTCCACGGACGGTTGTTAGGTTACCGAGTTGTTTATCGGCAAGTTGACGGAGAAAACTGGGAAAAATGGAAGGCGATCACCACCGGAAAAAAGGTGCTTGGTACAAGTATCACTGGTCTCAAGAAGTACGGAGCCTATGTAGTCCAGGTCGGAGCATTCACAAGAAAAGGCAATGGACTTCTGTCTAAAGGATACATGCTCCGGACAGATGAGGATGGTACGCACTAAGGCAGGAGACCATAACCCGGAGAGAGCAACTTCCTTGCGCTTGTGTCACGGCTTTTTCACGGACTAGTTTATTTTTAGAACGGTTTTGGCGCGCATTTTGAATATCTCGTAAATTCCACAAACCTGTCAGCAAAACCTACAGACCAAAAAATGATATTTTTTTTCCCTTTTAATAACGGTTAGTTTTCCTTTTTAATATCTTATACTTATATTAGAATGCGCTCATGGTGGAGATTCTATTTTCGTGGGAAAAAGTGCCTAAAATGTGTCTAAAAATAAACTGGTCCCTAAAAACGCCGTGACATAGGCTTAGTTGCTCACTCGGAGTTATGGGCTCCTGACTAAGGCTAGATACACACGGCAACGGGCGAATTTGCGACCAGTTGAAAATTCGTGTGCGTAAGTGTGACCAGGAGCCCATGTCATGGGCTCCCTGTGTGACTGTTCACAGGGAACCACCCTTACCGAGCGAAAATTTACACTTCTAATCGTTCAAAATTTGAACGCCAAAGTCGAGGTCAAATTTGCGACCGTACGCGTACTGTGTGCATTATGACGGTTCAAATTCTTGTACGGCCAATTTTACCAGCGTGGTGTGAACACCATAACTGTTTAAAGTTTTCTCCATAACTGCATAAATTTTTGTACGGTTAAGGGGTACCTGCATGTTTGCATGGTAACTCAGCTGGGACGCACCATTTTGGATTTGCGCTGTGCGCATGGGCAGATGATAAAACCACTGAGCAAAGTTGAGAAAAGTTCAAATTCAACCTGTTTTGTCAGTTCTGTATGAACAGCGTGAAAATATTGAACTTTTCCTCCAAAAATAAAAAATAAAAAAAAAAACTATTTTGCCAGACCTAAAAAATGTAGATTCTTATACTGTTTGCTGCGGGGTAAACGTCTTGTTTGTTTTGCTATCCCCAGTCCCCTCAAAACCACCACAGAATGTGACTGTCGCCAAAGACAACTCTACCTCAACAAGCCTTTTCATTCACTGGCGCCCAGTCCCCGCGAACCATCAGAACGGCATTATCCTTGGGTATCGTATCATGTACAAAAAATCCGCCGGTGAAGACACTCTTAAAACAAAGAATGTTTCCGCGAGAACAACTGTAACAGAATTGAAGAACTTGACCAAGTTTACGGAGTACAGCATCACGATCTTGGCATATACATCGAAGGGTAACGGTGTCCGAGCAAAATTTTTCACCGCTTCTACCACCGAAGACCGTAAGTATCTCATAAGTCTGCCTAGCAACCGTTTTTGTCACGCAACGTGGCGTGACCAGACAAAAACTGGCTGCGAGGGAGACTAAACTATCTCATGAACGAAGTACAAAATATATCAAAAGAAAAACACTACCTGATATTTTTTGCTTGCTTTTGGCCAGTGACGCTAAATAGCACCAAAGGGAAGTACTCAGTGCTCTCAGTGCTCGGTCATCTTTAAATTGAATGGTTACAGTTAGAACCATCTTGCATTGCATAGGACTGTAAACAGTACCAGATGAAAGTACTGCTTAGTAGCTTTGTTTGAATGGTAACACTTTAGGATTTCATTCACAGCCTCAAAAGTTGGAGCCACCTCGGATGATAAATAGTACCAATGGAAACTACTACTCAGTAGCTTTCGTTTGAATGGTCACACTTTAGGATTTCATCCACAGACTCAAAAGTTAAGACAACTTTGCACAGTATAGTAGAAGTTACCATGGGAAAGTACAGATCAGTAGCTCTTTTCTGTTTACGGTTCAAACCGTAGAATTTCGTCCACAGACTCGAAATGGAAAACCTCCCCTCTGCCCCCCCCTCCCCTACCAGGGTCGCTTGAAATTTCGCTCACGGGCATTTAGTGATCATAATGTGACAGCGGATTTTTGTTATTATATTTGTCAGGACCAAGCAAGCCGCCGACATTGACCAGAGTCTTCAACACGAGTTCCACATCCATTCGAGTACACTGGAGCACTATACCACAGAAGTACACTCACGGGATTCTTGTGGGATTCGTTCTTTTGTATCGAGCATTGAATGAATCGCAAGACATGTACAGGGACGTTGAGGTGGGACCTGACAGAAACAACTTGGAGCTGACAGGACTTTGGAAATACACTAAATATGGAATTCGAGTGCTGGGCTTCACCAGGGTGGGATGGGGAGTTATTAGCCCGGAAGTTGCGGTGCAAACGGATGAGGATAGTAAGTAGACAATTTAAAGCTTTTTATCGCACTCAGTCAAAATGGTGGGGTATCGTGGCGCCCTCGTATATCAGCTACTTCTTAGACAGTTTTCTGTCTTCTTAATTGTATTTTTGTTAGATCGTTGAGGTCCAACGCTTGCTATAACGGGTGACCATCTTGGTTTCAAATATACCAAGGGAAACCCTGGGAAGAGTGTCAAATCTACCTCTCCGACCCCCACTCACTCGGTTTATCCTCTCGATCGTCTGACACTAAGAAGTCCAAGATGGCTGCCCATCTTTGCAAGTGCTCAATGATTTTAAGGAAAAACTGAGGTCTGTTAGCTATTTCTGCACGTAGCGCTGTAAAAGATAGGGATTTCACATCGCTTACTCTATTATAGGGTATAATTATAAAAGAGTTTTGGAGCAGAATAAACGCTCAAATTTGAGCGCGCAATACTTACTATTGAGTTGTCATCCTCCTCTCAGAATAATAATAATAATAATAAATACTTTATTATTGGATGATGATGATGATGATGATTATCATTATTATCCTCTTGCCTTATGGGGCTTTTCAGGCGTTATGAACCAGTAATTCAAATGGAACGTAAATATAAGCCACTTCCCCATTCGTCGTAATGCACCTTATTTGCCCCCCAGAATTTTGCATAACCTTTGTTTTTCATTTCTCCTGGGTATTACGGCCGTCCCAAGAGAAAATGAAAACAGGGCTTGTACAAAAGTTGGGGGGGGGGGGGTCAAATAAGGTGCATTATGGGAAATGTGGAAGTGGTGGATGGTTAAGAATCCCAACAGAAGGCGAACCTGTTGGCTACTTGTGTGCCTGACCGAGGATTTGAACTCAGCACCAGCTAGCGGTCAGGGATGGGGGAGGGAATTGTACTCGGGGCCTCTGGATTACAAGTCACGAGCTCTAACCGTTCGGGCACGCTGCCTCCAGAATCTAAAGGTCTCCAGTGCTTAGTAAACAGGTACTATCCTTTGATTGCTTACAGCTCCGGGAATGCCTCCAGAAAATGTTTACGCCGCCAACAAGTCAACCCCCACAACGATACCAGTCACGTGGCAACCAATCAGCAACCAGTATTTTGTGCACGGGATTCTTAGAGGTTATACGGTGACATATAGAGCCATCAGTAATCCAAACCAGCGGCTAGACGAGAAGGAAAGAAACATTACAGTCGGACCCAACACTACTTCCGTTGTGCTGAATAAATTGTCTTCCTTTACGATTTATAGCATTGAGGTTCGTGCGTTCACGGTCAAAGGAAACGGCATCCCATCTCAAGTAATATTTGCGGGTAACGAATTCGTTTTTGGGTTTTCGTTTGAGAGACAGTTACTTTGGCAAGCGTAAACGGGGATAGTGAAGGCGGGGGCGGGGGGGGGGGGAGGAGTGGAAAAAACGGGAAGGAAAAGGGGGGGGAGAAGTGAAAGGGGGCCGCCGGTATGAAAGATCCCCCCCCCTGGGTGGTTTTCCTTTCT